ATAACTGAATACCATGGACTGAAGATAAATCTGAAAACTTTCATCAGCTGAATTGATGAGCCGTAACTCTAAATGTAATATCCTCCTAACTGGTAAAGAGGATAAAACACACTAACAAAAAGTCAAAGGCTGACTGCCCAAAATATAGCAGACATAAAAAGTAATCTATATGACTACTGCTTTTTCTGGAGCTTTTGTGGGCCTCGTGGGCCAGTACAGACTAAAATAGGTCAGTCTCAAATGTTACATTTATTGTATTATTAAATATAGGATGAGCTATATATCCTTACAGTTGGGAGGTGCTTTACAAATTAAAGAGAGACAGAACAGCTGCAATACATTTTGATACACAATTGTAAAAAACCATTGGGTTTTTTAGCTTTTGTTGTATAAATGAAAAAAAAAGCTCAAAATTTTGAAAAAAAAAAAACCCTACGTTTTTCTTCTTTGCAAATTTGGCTAACAAACTCTTTATAAAGTTAGGCCAAAATGTAGTATGTTACATTTCTTTGTTAAAAATAACCAAAATCAATGTATATTATTTAGACTGTGTGAAACTTCTACAAACTATGGTATATTTACAGTATTTGAAAATTGATCAATCCTCATGTACCTAATTTCTTGAGGTCCTAAATGCCAAGACAGTTGAAATACCCAGCAAATTACCTCTTTTTGGAAAGTAGACAGTTCAAGGTATTTAGTAGGAGGCATGGAGAGTTTTTTTAAGTTGTAATATTTCGTAACAATATTTTGGAAAATTAAGAAATTATTTATTAATTTTACATACTGTCACCAGTGCAGTACAGCATCGTCATAGGACTGGTATGGCGGTGATCAGGGATACTGACTGGTGACAGTATTTCATTAATTTAAATAATTTGTTTTCAATGTTTTAAACAGTTTTTATTGCTTTTTTTTAACATACTATCAGAGTAGTTCAGTGTCACCATAGTGGGAGGGTTGAGGGAAGGGGTGATCAGGGATTTTTTTTACACTGTTATTGCTTATAACAGTGATGATCACTGTTATAAGCAGTAGTTTTCACTGTCATGAATGGCTTTCATTCATGATAGAGTGCTTACTATTGTGATGCTGTGATTGGCTACAGCTAATCACATGGTACAGGGTGCCAGGTACCATGTGGGCCAATCACAGTATCACAATAGTAGGAAAGCTGTCACGAATGGATGCCATTCATGACAGTTTTGCTTATATATAATCATGTGATCGCTATGACTGGTCATAGTGATCATATGATAGCCTGGCGGCTCACAGTGACCGGGTGCAGAGCACTGTGATCCTCTGTGTCCACTGGACACAGTGGTCACAGGATCACACTGCTGTGCATGTGCTAAAAAATGTACCAGTACATTGCTTAACCTAGAGCTGCCACCTACCCTCAGTAAATGTACTGTGGGTGGGTGCCAAGTGGTTAAACAAACAACATGTTAATTTGTTACAACATAAATTGCATATACAATACTGTACATCCTGTAAGCTGAAGTCATTGTATCATTTTCCAGAGCAAGTTTTTTAATATTCCACAATTAGATTTCCTTTGGGCAGTAATTATTGCCCTGGAATTTTATGTGTCTGTCTTTACTTATAATTAGCTAGTGTTTAATGAGTTTTCCCCTTATGGTGCACTGAGAATGAATTTGTATGAATGTGTATTTCTTATGCAGTCCCAGAGGAATCTTTGGAACAAATGTCAAGGTAACCATTTGAGAGAACACTTTCCCTGATGTTCAGAGCATACTTATCCCATCACTTCCATGAAAACTCCATCTGGTACTTTGCACAATCATTTTATTGTCAGCTTTTGGTTATTTGCAGAAAGATCCATACCTTTTCATATACATGCTGCCTCTTCCTTGTTAAAGGACATAATGTAAAGGCATTCCAGACCAAAAAGTAGCTATTTTTTAATAAGGTGAACATGAAATGTTGTATATGAGCATTTCATATGTTTCATTACGAAACAGAATATAGAGCTCTAGGCCCCTTTTCACGTACTTAACCTTATTCTGGTGTTTACAGAGCTCAATAACTTACATTTAACAGTAGCACACTTAGGGAGGAATTTACAAAAACTGCAGTACACAAAATCTGGTGCAGCCTTGTGCAGTAACCAATCAACATCTAACTTCAACTTGTTCAATTAGGCTTTGACAATGAAACCTAGAAACTGATCAGTTACTATGCACAGTTGCACCAGATTTCTGTTTGCACCAGTTTTAGTAAATCCCCCCTATAGAGTCAAAGGAGTGATTCATTTCCCTCCCTGCCTGTTTATATGGTGCCATATGGAGTTTTAGTAAGAGGGAGACATTCTGAAAGCTGTGGAGAAGGGGGCACATCCCCTGAAACCCGGCAGCTTGCCAGCGCAGTGTTAAGGTGTGTTTGGCCATGCTATTCACATACTGGATTGAGATTTAGTATCATACAATGCCTGTATACATTTATTTTTGTGAATATCCATTTGGCTGTACGTTTTGCTTGATACAATAAACCTTTGACTAGCAGTGTTCATTTTCCTGTGTGCTCTTTTACAATAACCAATGCCTGTCACAGTTACACTGTAAGCACATGTAAACCACATAAACTGACACAGTCTAAAAGGTCTGTCCTTACCATCAGTGCCAGACAGGCATTAGACTGACCCCAGAATTTAAATTTAGGGCATAACCCCAATTGCTGGTAAGGTCAAAACCTCCAATAAAGCCGTGATAAAACAACACAGAGCAGGCGGGTAACTTTTCTTTAGGCTGAATCACCTAAGGTCAGTGGGGTGTGACTCAGTGTAGCCCTTTTCTAGAATCTACCCTCAAATCACATCCTTGTAGCCAGTCCTGATGGAGCCACTTAACCTCCCTGTGTTGGGTCAAAGCACTTTAAGGCAATTTTTCCATCAGTCAAGGTTCCTTTTCCCTACAGGGATTCAGGTCTACTATACTGTAGTCTACTACACTGTAGAGTTTTAAAAGCAACATATACAGTCCCTTGAAAAAGTATTCATACCCCTTGAAACTTTCCACATTTTGTCATGTTACAATCAAAAACGTAAATGTATTTCATTGGGATTTTATGTGAGACCAAGAAAAAGTGGCACATAATTGTGAAGTGGAAGAAAATTGATAAATGGTTTTCAAATATGTTTACAAATAAATATCTGAAAAGTGTGGTGTGCATTTGTATTCAGCCCCCTTTACTCTGATACCCCCTAACTAAAATCTAGTGGAACCACTTACCTTCAGAAGTCACCTAAATAGTAAATAGAGTTTAGTTGTGTGTAATTGTAATTTCAGTATAAATACAGCTGTTCTGTGAAACCCTCAGAGGTTTGTTAGAGAACATTAGTGAACAAACAGTATCATGAAGGCCAAGGAACACACCAGACAGGTCAGGGATAAAGATGCGTAGACGTTTTAAGCAGGTTTAGGTAACAAAAAAATATCCAAAGCTTTGGACATCTCACGGAGCACTGTTCAATCCACCATCCTAAAATGGAAGGAGTATGGCACAACTGCAAACCTACCAAGACATGGCTGTCCACTTAATCTGACAGGCCGGGCAAGGAGAGCATTAATCAGAAAAGCAGCCAAGAGGCCCATGGTAATTCTGGAGGAGCTTCTCAGTCTATCACATAAAATCCCAGTAAAATACATTTATGTTTTTGGTTGTAACATGACAAAATGTGGAACATTTCAAGGGGTGGAGGATTGGCAAGAAAAGTATCTGCTTCATATTTTTGTTTGATTCACACTGTTCAATATCAGTATCCATAATATAAATCATGATTTTTTTTTCTATACTGCACTGCACTTACATAATCACTTTAGAAACAAATTACAAACTTCTAGAAATCAGGGAGCTCAGGGAAACGTTTTTTTTTTTTTTGGTTTTCCCCCATCCCATGAGATTGTAGTCAGTCAATCTCAGAAACTATAAAATTATTTCTGATGTCCTCCTTGTTCTCCCTCCTGGAATGCAGACATTTTTTGTTTTTTAGACCATATAGTGCAAACTGCAGACAGGCTGGATGTACACATAGGCATGGTTTGGGGCTGTGATACGAGCTCTGAAAGCACATGGCAAAAGCTAGAGATAAGAGAATGTATTTTGTAAAGTTGCTTGTTTTTGTTGTCTCTATGTTTGTTTGTTAGATATATTAAAGCAGAACTTCACCCAAAAGGGCAAGGTCCGCTTGTTTGCATCCCCCCTCCTCTGTAGCAATTGGCACCTTTTTGGAGGGGGAGGAGTGGGTACTTGGTTTTGACAGGTACCAGCTACCACTTCTGGAGCGGAAGTTTTCCCTCCCCCTCAGCCTTCTGGAACACATCACAGATCCCAGAAGACTGCAGGACAATTCACAAAGTGCAGCGTGGCTTGTGCATTTGCAATTGGAAACTGGCTATGAAGTCGTAAGGCTTCACTGCCAGTTTCCCTTAGTTGACATGCCGGTGCCTGGACCTGAAGCTGATTAAAGAATCGGCTCAGGCGAGGACATCACTGGATCCATGGACAAGTAAGTGTCCTTATACTAAAAGTTAGTAGCTACAGTATTTGTATATGCTGATGTTTAATTTTTTTTGGGGGAGACTGTAGCTTCTTTTTAAGGTTTGTGTAGTAGATTAGTATTGTATTTTCTGTGTTTTAATTCAAAGTTCATCATATTCCCAACGCTCCTGCTCCATCACAGCTGCTGGTTTCATTCCAGCATTCTGATTTTGGATGTTATGCATTCTCTCTGTCTGTCTGTCTGTCTGTCTGTCTGTCTGTCCACCTGCAAGGTGATTGATGTGGCCAGTCTCTGGGTGGAGTCTTGGCTGATTTAAGCCAGCCAAGTCTGCAGTCTCATGCTTGTGATATCGTGTGTAATACGTCCTCAAGTTCCCTGTCTGTCTAACCTTCTGGATTCCACTGTTTATGACCTTGGATCAGATATCGCCTATTCTCTGAACTCTACCTGCCTTTTGACTACAGATTTGACCCTGACTATTCTGAACCTTGCCTGCATTTTACCTGGACTGTCATTGAACCACTCTGCCTGACTGCCAACTGCAAGTGCCTGTTTGCTATGCTCAGTTCGCAACTGCCCCTGGGTGGTGGTCAGGCACTATAGCATTGTGTATTAACACAGTACAGCTCTGGCTAGCATGGGAGGAGAGGTGATTTTTTTTTGCTGCTGTGGTTTTCCTTTCACTTACAGATTTCCAACCCACCCCAGACTGGATAGTGAAATGCATTAATGGACTCATCGCTCTCACTCTGTTCAATACAGCATCAGTATGCATGAGCTAACTTGAAGATAAGTCTACAACTGCTTTGTCAAACAACAGGTCTGAGAACTAGGAACACACGTGTGCATTCCTGGTTCTAGGCAGCAAGATTAATTAATATTCACATGACAAAGGGCATTTGACATGTGGGCTTAAAAATGCGTATTGCAGTCATAAAGGGGTTAAGTATAAATAATATTGTATCTTGTAACACTTGGGAGTATTTCTTACCTCTGAAAGAATTCACAGTACAAAACAAAGAAAGTGGAATTCCTGTCTGTAGAATATTCTAAAAAAAGATACTGAGCATCGTGTTACAAGCAGAATTAGTCTGAGAAAATCGATTGAAACAGAAGAAAATGACAACAAATAAGGAAGCTGGTAATACTGAAAAAACGAAAGCATATATATTGCATTGCAAAAAAACTCTCTCCAGCTGTACACTGTATCCATGTATTTTTACACATACTGTACCACCTGTGGAAGCCTAATTTACGGTATGTAACTGTGGAAAAAATAGATGTAGTGTCTTGCTCATAGCAGTCCATCAGAGGATGACTTTCATTTTCTTAGCTTGCTTAGCTTGGTCACATAATTACATAGTTAGCCAGGTTCAAAAAAGTACACCAACGGAAAAAAATAAATAAATAGAAAACCTCCATATACACAAACCTATACCCATAGTTGAAGGCAAAAAACCCCAATAAAGCATGATCCAATTTGCTCCAGCAGGGGAAAGAATTTCTTCACGATCCCTGAAGGCAATCAGATGGATCAACTATCCCATGTGTTATTACCTATAAAATGTAAATATCCAGTTATGTTTTGTGCATTTGGGAATGCATCCAGCTGTTTTATGAAATAATCTACTCAGCCGGCCAGAACTAGTTATTGAGGAAATCTATTCCAAATTTTCCCACCTCTTACTGGGAAGAAGCCTTTCCACATGTGATGGTTAATTCTCTTTTCCTCCAGACGTAAAGTGTGCCCCTTGTCCTCTGTAATGACCTGAAAGTGAATAACTCTACACCAAGTTCACTGTATGGACCTCTTACAGTATGTATTTATACCAGGGGCGGGCTGACAACTCATGGGGCCCCCGGGAATTAGGGGATAATGGGGCCCCTGTGTCCTTGCCCAAACTCAAAAAAGCCTATGAAAAAGGTACCAGGGGCATGTCATGGGGCCCCCTACTGACCCCGGGCCATCGGGCAGTGCCTGAGTTTCCGAATGGTCAGTCCACCCCTGATTTATACATGCTGCTCATATCCCTTCTTAATCTCCTCTTCTCAAGACAGAATAACTTTAGTTCAGATAATCATTTTTTTTTTTGTTTTTTTTTTAGTAGCCTTGAAAGCATTGCACCAGCGATCAGCAGGTCACTGGTGCCATGCAGGTCTCCTGCACACTGTCAGTGTAACCTGTCTGCCCTTACATCGTACGAGCTGGCAGTTTCACACTGACAGGAAGAACCAATGAACTACCACAGCACACAACAGTGCTGTGGTAGTTCATTGAGAACTACAAGCCAACAGCCACAAAGGCTGTCGGTGCATGTAGTTTCCTATTCATAGAATGCTGTGAATGAAAGACGTGGCTGGGCAGGTGGAGAAGAGAAGATCCCCACTAGCTGTCACAACAGGGGATCAGGGGTGCGAGGTCCTACAGTAACATGTTATATGTTACACCCTGAATATGAGTATAACATGCAACATGTTATAAAAGGTGAACTTATCCTTTAACCACCTCCCGCCCGCCATATAGTAATATGATGGGCGCAAGGTGGTTCTCTTGTTCTGGGAGTCATATGATGTCCTCCCATTCTCACTGCGCGGCTCAGGGAGCGCGCAGCGCTGCGATCGGTGGTGCGCTGTGTCCCTTGGACACAGCGGATCACCGATCACGGAAAGAGCCGAAGATGTTGGCTCGGTCATGTGATCAGCTGTGTCCAATCACAGATGATCACATGTAAACAGGGAAATGCCGGTTATCGGCATTTCTTTCCTCTCGAGCTGTCACTCTGACAGCTCGAGAGGAGAGGAGAGCCGGTAATCGGCTTTCCGCAGAGGGGACATCTACACAGATCATCAGGGCACTGATGATCAGTGTGCCCTGATGATCAGTGTAGCCCCAGCAGTGCCACCTGTCAGTGTACATCAGTGCCTTATGTCAGTGCCTCGTGCCAGTGCCCATCAGTGCCACATCATTGCCACATATCAGTGCACACCAGTGCACATCAATGCCACATATCAGTGCCCATCTGAGCTGCCTTTCAGTGTCACCCATCAGTGCCAGTCAGTGCCACCTATCAATGCCAATCAATGCCACCTATCAGTGCTGCCAATCAGTGCCACCTACCAGTGCCAGTCAGTGCCGCCTATCAGTGCCAGTCAGTGCTGCCTATCAGTGCGCATCAGTGCCTCCTATCAGTGCCAGTCAGTGCCGCCTAACAGTGCCAGTCAGTGCCGCCTAACAGTGCCAGTTAGTGCCGCCTAACAGTGCCAGTCAGTGCCGCCTATCAGTGCTGCCTATCAGTGCCATGTATCATTGCTGCCTTTCAGTGCCCATCAGTGATGACTGTCAATGCCCATCAGTGCCACCTACCAGTGCCTCCTCATCAGTGCCCATCAGTGCCACCTATCAGTGTCCATCAGTGCCCATCAGTGCAGCCTCATTAGCGCACGTAAGTGAAGAAGAAAAATCACTTATTTACAAAATTTTATAACAAAAACTAAGAAAAAACATTTTTTTTTCAAAATTTTCAGTGGTTTTTGGTTTGTTTAAGAAAAATAAAAAACCCAGAGGTGAATAAATACCACCAAAATAAAGCTCTATCTGCCACAAAAAAATGATAAAAATTTCATATGGGTACAGCGTTGCATGACCCGCGCAATTGTCATTCAAAGTGCAACAGCGCTGAAAGCTGAAAATTGGCCTGGGCAGGAAGGGGGTATAAGTGCCCTGTAGGCTAGTGGTTAAGTAGCCTGCCAGCAGCTGGAACCAGGTGGAGCTGATTACTGGAAACTGCTGGCTGGGAGACACCTGCTGGTCGACATTTTTCCACCCAGAAAACCACAGCGTCACCAGTAGGTGAACCAGGTCCTGACAATAGTATTTCAATGGCACAAAGAAAACTTTTATATGATTGGCACTGAAAGCCATTGCGTAGTGAGCCTTGACAGCAGAATTACTATGCAACGTCTTTAACTGGCAATTAATGAGAGAGCTGTTAACATTCTGTGATGATGTGAGAGAGGCAGCAGGGAGCCCAGGAGGCCAAGTGTTGATCTTGAATTACAGTATAGTGCTCAATGTGTACAGGTCACTGCAACATACAAGGTTTCTGTAGGTACTCTAATAACTAATTCTCTCCCCTGCCTTTAGTGCCAGGAGGTGATAAGGTCTCTTTAACAAGGTCTTTGAAATTTACCACTCAAGCTTAACCAACCATTTAAGTTAAGCCTCTAACGTTACTGTTAACCCTAATTCTTGACCCAAACTTTAATTTCACCTCTAGCCTTAATCCCTTAATCTATATTTAAGTGATGTCTGCATGGGAAAGAGAAAAATGATCATTTAACACTGATAGGTCCTTGAAAGATCTACAGCATATGAAACTGTCAAGTGGTCCAGAATCTACTAAAAACCTACACTGAGGTGGATTTTCCCTTTTAAAAAATGAGATTTTATTGAAAGGGACTCTGAATGATGCTGAAAGTTATTAGAAGTAAGAATGCTGAAGGCACTGTTTACAAGTTTTAACTCCCCATTTTCCACATGAATGGTTGTGCCACTGTCCAGGGTTCGAAGCGGCTGAAGTCAGCGGATGATTATACTGGGTAAATGGAAGTCACTGAAGCTTTACCAAGTCTACGAGGGATGTATTAAATTACTTTGGTCTTCCTCAACATATAAAAATAGAATTTTATTTTTAAATAGGAAAAAGAAGAAATATATAGATAGATAATAAATCATAGAAAAAAGATATATTAAAAGAAGCAAGAGTGACTTCAGCCATTGTATGAGCAGTTGAACCTGGTCCCCACAGTCCCCTTGTTCCCCTAAATCTGCATACACTGACGTAAGATAGCGGATCTGCTCAGTTTACAACTTCTATTTAGAAAGAAACTTAAAGAGCACAGGTGGTTAACTTGTGAATATAGGAAGTCCAGGGATGGACTGACAACTCATGGCGCCCCTGGGCAATAGGGGATTATGGGGCCCCTGTGTCCTCGCCCACACTCAAACCACACCCAAAAAAAGCCTATGAAAGGTACCAGAGGCATCTCATGGGGCCCCCTACCAACCCCAGGCCCTCGAGCAGTGCCCGAGTACCCAAATGATCAGTCTTCCCCTGAGGAAGTCTCATTTGGGGTCCTGAATATCCAGAGGGGAAGCACAATTGTTTAATTTTGATTGTTTTCCTTAACAAGCTGTAATGTCTATGTCTTACACCATGTTACCACAATACATGTTAACTTGTGCATGCTTTGCGGTAACATTTGATTTAAATGTCACACCAACTCACTGTCACAGTAGTGGGGATGCTGTGCATTGTGGTGTGCTGCATTAAAAAAAAAGTCATGTCAAATTTTCAATGTGTTAAAGTGTGCAAAAAATCAATAAAATTCTGAATGACATTGTGCTTGCTTATGCAGAAAGCACAAATGTTACCTAGAACATCCAACATATTTGGTGTGACTCTAGGATAATTATGGAAGTTTTTTTAATTCATTAATTATTAAATTGATTAATATAATTTTTTTAATTTTTTTCTTCATGATGTGTGGACTGTTGTCATTGGAGACCTGATCAAGCCCACCATGCAGCTCTCCAGCAACAGATCATTTCAAATAGTGATCTACTGCTGGCTCCATTCATCCAGCAATATATCAATATAGCAGTGATCTACTGCTGCAAGGAGAAGCTGAAGAGCCACTAATCTAAAAGGAAATGCTCTGACTTAGTTTCCTTTCTGGTGTAAACACCACATGGAAGCATTGCTTTGCATTGCATTTACCACTGCTCCTATGAATCATTCAGTACCAGGAGCAGTAGCTTAAGAGCTGATCAATTTGGTTCCTAGGCTTACCACCAAAGCTGCCAGTCAGGCATCTGGGCAGATCCCAACATTATTGTCAGGATCCCTGCAGAGCCTCTACCGACTCTGTGACGTCAAGTAACAACTGGTTTTAGCCTGATGTCAGCTGAATTTGGGTCACAGGAGTGCAGAACTAAGTGCACTCCTGTTACCCACAGGAGAATTATGGCCAAAAGAGTTTTGACCATACGTTTCCTTTAAATATTTGTTTGCAGATTCCTACCTTTTTCTGCTCTGATAAAAAAGCTGATTATTGTGTGTACAGTGAATCTGAATGGGAGTGACTTTTTCATTGCTTATATCATATCATCATATCATATCATATCATATATCATAGCAGCTGATGCACTTGCAGTAATCTAACGAAGAAAGATGCAGGAGTCGCTTTATAAGTAATTAACCCTTTGGGAGTTTTTTTTCCATGAAAGTTACCCTTAGAAGTGCTGGAGTGAGTCTAAAGGAGTTATAGCAGGACAGAGTTATTTTTTAGTAAGCTTTAGAGTTGAGCAAGGTTCACTTTAAATACTTGCTTTCATTTCTTTTTGTCTCTAGCTGTGTATTATTATTCAAAGTGATGCTGGTATTGTGTGTCTGGACATAGTGTAGCTATGATGGAGTACTTCATTAAGGGAGGAGGCAAAGAAAAATCAGCTTTAGTAATAGTATTTACTTTCCTAACAACAGAGCAGGACTGGGCAGTATTTATCAAAGTCTCTGCTGTTCCGCCAGCAATATTGCTGTCATTTTTTTCTGAAAAAGGATTTGAATATTTTATCACTTTAATTTCTTGCCAAATATTTGAAAGTTGGAAGAGAAGTAAACATCTTCAATCTGTTTTCCTAAAAGGGAAAGTGTTTTGTTCAACTGTCATTTATTTAAACAAACCTGTTGAAAAACATTGGGGATTGAGAGCAGTGTTATCGGCTGCCTGCATGGAGTGATTACAATGAAAGCATTGCATGAAGTTGCAGACTGCGGTGTTTGTAATGAATGTTGATTAATACAACAGCCAACAGCCAATCTTTCAATAATATGTGCAATTAACTTTCCCAGCATACACAATAAAACAAATGTACCTCTATAATGGATATGAATTACACATGCTTTATTTTCATTCAGGATCATTGGTATTAAAACTGCCATAATATTTGGGATGCTTGTAAATAGGATATATTTGAGAGATCAACTCCAACCTAAAGGTTTTTTCAGTTTCAATCAGGTAAAGTAAGGTTAGAACCTCATAAACTTGTTATTGCTGTGTTCATGGTTAGGAGATTTCTCCTCACTCATACAGAACATGAAGCTAGAGAAACTTTCCCCTGCCTGTTTGATGGGTGGCTGACAGTACTGAAAATAAGGGGTAAAGTTGGTCATACACCAGTAGACATTCTGAGTAGTCATCAGGAAATATACAAGCAGATCCTCCTAACAAATGATGTGGGTGTACCCAAGGTGCAGGATCTAACTACTGGCTGGTTCACCAGAGCTCCTGATGGTGGAGATGGTTTTTGATGTGTGTTAGTACCAGGTCATGTTCCTCAAGATCACCCCATTAGAAGGTAAGCAAGCAGCAGATGTAGAAGGTAGGGGTTAAGTAGAAGCATAGTCCGTAAAAACAAGCCAAAGGTCTGTAACACGCAGTAGCAGGATGGGAACAAAGTGTAGTCAATGAACAAGCTAAGGGTCGATAAAGAGTGGTAGTGAAGAAAAATACAGCATCAGGGATGCAAAGGACCAAGATATCAGCCAGAGAAAGCACAATATTCTGGGAAACTGGAAATTCAAAGACATGAGTTAAATCAGCAAGTTCATGGGAAAAGCAAAGGGTTCAAGGTTCACTAGAAGCAAGACACAAAGCAAGGATGTCCAAGGAATCGGGTAGGAAGCTTTCCAGCATCCCTGATGGCATAGGGAGAAGAGCCATAACTAGACTCCCCAGTGGTTGCAGGTTCAGACCCAGATCCTGACAATTTAATTGGAATGTTTGTACGGGAAATACGAAAAATTCCATTATCAAGTCAAATCAATTTTTTAAAAGCCCTTAAAATTTAATTCAGACCTCGAACTTGAATGGAATCCCAGATGTAATAAAAGGGTTTCTTTTGTGCCTAGAACATGTGTATTACAATATGTACAATTTTTCTTACATTTACAGTTAGCTTTTTATTAGTTCAAGAAAAATCACCCGTACTGCTCCTCTGAATTTTCTCATCACTGTGGTCAGAAATGATCATCAATTTGACCCATTAGAAAATAAAATGCTCCTAAAAATGAACATTTTTTAACTAAATTCTACTTGTATATGGCAAACTTTTTTCCGTATACAGACCGC